GCTTTTTTCTTTTTGCTTATGTGGTGCTGGGGAATCGAACCCAGGGCCTCATGCATGCAAGGCAAGAGCTCTACCACTGAGCCACCTTCCCAGCCCATGGCTTGTATATTTTGCTATATAATTTATTTTTATCCATATTGTCTTTGAAAGCTTCCCAACATATTTCCCAAAAGCATCTATATTTACTAGCTATGTGATTTAAAACTTGTAATTATTGGCCAGGTGTCAGTGGCTCATGCCTGTAATCCTAGCTACTCAGGAGGCTGAGATCTGAGAATCATGGTTCAAAGCCAGCCTGGGCAGGAAAGTCTGTGAGACTCTTACTTCCAATAAACCACTCACAAAACTGGAAGTGGCGCTGTGGCTCAAGTGGTAGAGTGCTCACTTTGAGCTGAAGAGCTGAGGGACAGCGCCCAGGCCCAGAATTCAAGCCCCACAACTGACAAAAAAACAAAACTTGTGATTATTGGGTCAGAGGAGGGGTTAAAGGCCTATTTACTGTGCCTTGTTAGCTTGGTTGTTGATAGTGCTTGGTTGTTGATAGGACCTGAGGAGGAACAGGTAGAAACATGGCCTGTGAATGCCTTGTAAGCAATTGATGGGGCTATTTATTATGATATGGCTATATTCATTATTATCACTTTTCTAGGAATAGTGCTAGGAAGGTTCTTATTGTGCATGTATGTAAGGAAAGTTAAAATCACAGACATTCAACCTGCAAAGGGCACTTCATGGAGTCAGTGTTTTCTCCTTCAGACTAGCCTTCTGTCATGGCACAGTGCCAAGGTGGTATTTTGTTCTATGAAAGTTAATGTGAAATTATACATAATATTTTATTGTCAATAGTGGGAAGAATATAGAAATGTTAGAACTGGAGTAGAAATACTTTAATCATAATGAGTAACTTTGTTTATTTTGTAGTGCTCAGGAACTTGGGGGGTAGTAGGCAATGGTCTGCCATTGACTCACACCCCCAAACATGAATTAACTTTTCATTTTATTCCAATTATGGAAATTGGACCTGGGTGGTATCCCTGAACTTTTTTTTTTTTTTCTCAAGGCTAGCACTCTTCCACTTGAGCCACAGCTCCACTTCTGGCTTTTTGGTGGTTAGTTGGAGATAAGAATCCCATGGACTTTCATACTCAAGCTGGGTTTCAACCCCTTCCTTCAGATCCCAGCCTCCTAAGTAGCTAGGATAATAGGCATGAGCCACAGATTAATTAATGCCCCCCCCACCTCTGCCCCCCAGTTAGTTCTGGGGCTTGAATTCAGGGCCTGGGCACTCTCTAAGCTTCTTTTGCTCAAGGCTAGCACTCTGCCACTTGAGCCACAGCTCCATTTCTGGCTTTTTGGATAGTTTACTTGAGATAAAAAAATCTCCTGCTGCGGCTGGCTTTGAACTGTTATCCTCAGATCTCAGCCTCCTGAGTAGCTAGCATTATAGTTGTGAGCCACCAGTAACTTTTTTTTTCTTTTCTTGCAAGTCCAGGGGCTTGAACTCAGGGCACTATCCCTGAGCTTCATTTGCTCAAGGCTAGGCCTCTTACTACTTGAACCACAGTGCCCCTCCTGGCATTTTCTGTTTATGTGGTACTGAAGAATCAAACTCAAGGCTTCATGCATGCTAGGCAAGCACTCTACCTCTAAGCCACATCCCCAGCCTGAAGTAACTCTTTAAATGGAAAAAAAAAAGACTAGTTTTTTCTTTTGTCCTTCCCATATTCCTATTAATTAATATGTTCCAAACAAATCCTGCCATTAGTTTGCCATGGTCATTTTTGACAGAGTAAGAATCTATAGAGAGGTAGAGTTCCTATATGGCTTTCAAAAATCAAAAGTCTGGAAGCTGAGTGCTATGGCTCAAATGGTAGAGTTCTAGCCTTGAGCAAAAGAAGCCCAGGGACAGTGCCAACACCCTGAATTTAAACTCTAGGACCACCACTAAACTTATAATTTTTAGCGTGCACGCACATACACACACACACGAAAGATCTTTCAAGAAAGAATACATCTATGCAGTGCAATCTTAGAGATCTAAAAAAACATATGTCTATTCCTCAACTATCATCTGTACCCACTTCTTGTATATTTAAATTCTATTAACAGGAAATAAGCTCTATTAATGGGGTATAAGCTCTTTTAACAAGAAATAAGCTCTTTCATTTCACAAGAGAGCTGAGACTGACACATACTTTTGTGGAAAGAGGATGATGATTTCATGAATAAATTGAATTCCAACATATAAAAAAAAAATCAAAGCCTGGTAGAGTTCCTACCTAACAAGCAGGAGGCTGTGAGTTTAATCTCCCACAGTGACAAAAAAATGTTGTCAGGTTGCCATTGCCTCACGCTTTTAGTCCTAGCTACTCAGGGGGCTGAGATCTGAGGATCAACCTTCAGAGCAAGCCTGGGCAGAAAAGTCCATGAGATTCTTATCTCCAATTAATCCCAAACCAGAAGTAGAACTGTGAGGGTTAGAGCACAGGCTCTGCTCAGGGATAGCACTCAAACCCTGAGTTCAAGCTCCAGTACCACAATACACATAAAAGAGAGACAGAGACAAAGACTCAGAAAGAGAAATGAAAGGGGAGAGAGAGAAAAAAAAGAGACAGAAAAAGAAAGGAAAGAAAGAGAGAGAAAGAAAGAAAGAAGAGGCTGGGAATGTGGCTCAGTGGTAGAGTGCTTGCTTCGTATGCATAAGGCTCTGGGTTTGATTCCTCAGCACCACATAAACATAAAATGCTGGAAGTGGCTCTGTGGCTCAAGTGATAGAACTGTAGCCTTGAGCTGAATAGCTGAGGGACAGCACCCAGGCCCAGAGCTCAAGACCACGACCGACAAAAAAAGAAAAAAAAAGAAAAAAGAAAAGGAAAAGTCAGTCCTACTTAATTTTATAAAGGAACGTAGCTGGCTTGATTGCAGTACTTGCATTATGATATTTTATTGTCTCTGCTATAATGTTGCCATTAACAGGTTACTTCTCTTTGAAAGAATGTTGTATTTGAATGTTGATCCTGTTGCAGCTGTGGCTTTGCCCTTTTTCAGCCAAGATTTTAATATAAATATCCTTCTATGCCCTGTGTTCAACTGTTGAATTTGCTGGCTTATACAGAGGAAATTCTTGCTCATTACTGGGTAGGAAATCCTTAGATCATGTTAGTGTCATGAGCAGATGCATTTTCCCAAGCACTGCTCTGTGACATACAGAGCCATTGAGTGCTTAGCTCTGGGTATGTGTTCAGTAGAGAAAGTTTCCACCACATAGGAATTGTTCTTTCCCAGACTGTGTAGTGAGTGAGAAGTTTGTTTTGGAAACAAAAACACTAGTTACTGAGAAGACAAACTAGAATTATATTCCTTTCCCCTCACAGAGTTAAATTCTTATGCTTGATGAAAGAATTCTCTGATGTTATTAAATATTTTGGCAATTGCTTAGTTACAAGCATTACCAGGAATTGTTGACGCACTTTTGATGTTTGTTTTCAGATTACTCAGTCTTTCACTCTGAATTTATGAATTTCCTATAAGCATGTGGATTACAGTGGAGGTAGAGGAAAGATTTATGGTTGCTAACTTTAGAGTGTGTGCTGTGGTTGGCAGATCACTCTGATTTGGAACTTGAATATACCAAAGTTTGAATCCTGCTTCATCTTAACTATAGTGTCTTCTTTCCCTTATCTTTTCTGATTCACTGGGCTGTTTGAAGAGTGGGAGACAGAGAGCAGCACACCTAGCACATTGACTGCCAGTTGGCTTGTAGGGATAAGCTGGTGGCTTTTCCTTTACCCTTATAATCAGATCCAGTTCCTACAAGAATTTTTCACTTAGAGATTGAGTGAAAAACACTACACCCTTGATTTTCTGAGTAGCTAGGATTACAGTCATGTGCCACCATCCCTGAGAAATTATTGTGATAATAACTTATTTACCTAGCATTGTTAATGAGTGAAGTGTTAAAATAACCAAAACTCTTAAGTACCAAACAATGTAATTTAAAAAAAAATTTTCAGTGCTAAATGCAGGAGCCAGGTGCCAGTGGCTCACACCTGTAATCTTCTAGCTACTCAGCAAATTGAGATCTGAAGATTGTGGTTTAAAGCCAGCCCAGGCAGGAAAGCCCATGAAACGCCAATAAACTACCAAAAAAAACAAAAAACAAAAAAAACCCTGCAAGTGGAGCTGTGGCTCCAGTGGCTTTGAGCAATAGAAGCTCAGGGATAGTGCCTAGGCCCTAAGTTCAAGCCCCAAAACTGGCACAAAGAGAAAAAAGAAAAGGAAAAATAGATTAAATGCAAGACATGTATTACATCCCCAGCCTTAACTCTTTTTGATAGAAATCTTTCTAAAATACATTTTGTACATTCTTTTATTGACAAAACCTGTATAAACAGTGCCTTTTTCACTTCCTAGTGCCTTTTCTTTTAGCCTTTTATTTTATTTTAATTTTTTGGGTCCGGTTGTGGGGCCTGAACTCTGGGCCTGGGTGCTGTCCCTCAGCTCTTCAGCTCAAGGCTAGCGCTCTACCACTTGAGCCACAGTGCCACTTCTGGCTTTTTTCTTTTTGCTTATGTGGTGCTGGGGAATCGAACCCAGGGCCTCATGTATGCAAGGCAAGCGCTCTACCACTGAGCCACCTTCCCAGCCCCCTTGCCTTTTTTTTTAAAAGACTGCTTAGATGGTCCTACAATTTCTGCCTTTGCCTCCTGTGCATGCATGACCACACTTTGCTCTTCTCTTTTTTTGTGTTTTCTTTTGTTTGGTACTGGGGATTGAACCCAGAA